TCAGCAGGACAGAGGACAGAGAAGAGGAAGAAGAGATCGTGCACATGGGCAATGCAATTATGTCATTTTATTCGGCTCTTATAGATCTCCTGGGCCGCTGTGCTCCCGAAATGCACGTAAGTGATAGCGTTCCCAGAGAGCAACTTTGAGGGGCATGAACCAAAAGCACTTTGATTTCCCGAATGTAATTTCTTCTGTGTCTAGCATTTGCTGACTTGCCTTTCTCTCAGTTCCTTTTAGCTAACATCAAAAGTTGTTTCCATATCTGATACCTGATTCCACAGCTTTCTAAGGAGTGTGTGTGTGTGTGTGTGTGTGTGTGTTACATGTTGTTGAGTGAGCTCCAATTCTGGGAGACCTTCTGAATGAGCGATGTCCACAATGTGGTGTCCTCAGAGCCCTGCTCAGCTCCTGGAGACTCATGACTATGGCTTCTTTTATGAAAACAATCCATCTCATATCTGGTCTTCCTCTTTTCCTTCTGTCTTCTATTTTTTCCAGCATTATTGTCCTTTTCCAAAGAACTCTACCTTCTCATGATGTGCCCAAAGTAGGGCTAAGGAATAACTCGTAGGCAAAGCTCTGTGTTATGTGATTTCTCTGTGACACCAGTTAGGCATATCCTCCACATACAAGTATGCTGTTTCAAAACCCCCCCAAAATAATGATCATATGCCTCAATTTGGTCAAAATGTGACCAACTTGATTATGGCCATCAGGCTACCCCACATGGAAAGTCCTTTTTTCTTGGTGACCATGGTGTTCGGCACCAGGAAAGTAGCCTATTCCCATGGTTCGTGCTTGATTATTTCCCAGTGGTAAGCTTTGCATTCGTACTGAAAAGAATGCTTCTGTTTTTATGGGGTGTCTTTTCAGACCCTGTTTTGGCCTTAAAAGTTGTGTTCTTCCTCTTCCCTTTTTCTCTCTGCTGGGAGCTGTGAGTGACCTTATTTCACATAAGGCCTCACATCATAAGTAAGAGGAAATAACTGCTTTTTACATAAAAACAGAAAAAAATAGCCTTTTAAATAAANTTCTCATAAATTACATTTTATCACTAGCACTGCAAGAGTCTGGGCCTGGGTAGGAAGGTACCAGAATCAGCTGCCTACACAAGAAGGCAGTGTTTCTTTTTATCTTTTACCTCTGAGGCACCTGCTATATTTGCATTTTCAGATGTGTCGGCCATGGCCAACCACATCTGAAAATTCTGCCTAGAGATTTTAACAGAATTTTTCCTTCTTTTCAGGAATAGTCCAAGCAAGGATTTCAGGAAGCCTTTAGTTCAATCCTCTTTCTCTATACCAGGCAGAAAATAGCTTGTATGTTGTCAGAGATCCCACAGCCATCCAAGTGCTCTGTAGCTCTAACAGTCCCAGTTCTAATCTTGGAAAGTACTATAGCTGAAAACCACAGTGTTCAACTTGGCGTTGCTTCCTTGGCCGACCTGTGCTGTGGGCTGGATTCTGGCTCCTGAAGAGACATCATAGATAGTCCTCAACGAGTTGACTTTGTCTTACCTGTTAGATCAGCAGGGCTTTTTCTTAGATGTGGATCCCACCTGCTGGGATGGGACCATTGGCTGCTCAATTCTACCCTCTACTGGTCATAAGTGGAACTGCTGAAGCATGGCTGGGCCATCAGAAGGCTCAAGTGAAAGGAAAGGAAGCCATGGGCATTAATCAATGTAGAGATCTTCAGCCCCACAACATGCTCCCTGCCACCCGCTCCCCATATCAGCGTTACTCAGGATCTTCCAGATTTATGTGCAAAGGTCTCAGAAGAAATGCCTCTCCTGCCCCAACTGGCTGGAACAGCATGTTCTCACTGGGAGTAGAAATGGTTCCTCTCCATTGTCTAGTAACTGCAAGGGGTACATTAGGAGGCAGAAGAATTAATTAGGTAGATTCAGTTCAGGCTGGAGTCCATTAGGCAGAAAAGCAGACCATTCCCAGTGGTATTTGAGGGCCTCTCTGTAGCTAACCCAATTTTTACAAATGTTGGTTTCACGCTCATGATGTTTTCTTCTCCCCTGTATGTTGCTGATGTCTGTGGACCTTCTCTACCCCACCCCCCGGTGCAACCCTATTGGGAACCTCCCAGCTTCTGACAAATCACTATGAACAGTGCTGGAAGTATTACTGTCTACCCTCAGGATGGGGGAGCTACGGTCTCGCTGTAGAGGAGGAACTGCACCTGACGGAGAAGATCTTCTGGGGGATTTTTGACTCCCTCTCCCATAAGGTAATGGCAGTGTTTCTTGAACAAAGAGTGACCCAAGCACCTACAGATAATGATGGCTAATCTCTGTTCAGCCTTTACCGTGTGCTGGAACTGTGCAGTCTACCTCCTAAGCGTATTGTATTCATCCTTACCCCAACTCACTGAAATAGGAGCTACCCTGATCCTCATTTTATAGGTGAGAAAGTCTCAGAGCAGTTGAAGAACTTGCCAGACCCACAAAGCTAATACAGGGGAGAGCAACAGCCACCGTAAATTACAAAAGTGTTTCCTGGCTTCAGTCTTGATGACTTCCCCTGCCACCATGCCTTCCTCCCTGACGTTGTGTGGCCCCTGTGAGCGAGCCTTTACCGGGCTCAAGCCTACAGCAGAAGTCCTGACATCTGCTCTGATGATGGGATGAGGGCTTTCCAGAAGACTTTAAGCCACAGTGGGGGAGGTTCTTCACAGCCCTTGTTTGAGAGGAGGGTGAAGGAGAGCTGAGGGCCCCTGAAGCCAGAGCCTCCCTGTACCGTCTGATTGAAATAGAGCTCC